CCCCCCCCCCCCCCCCCCCCCCCAGCAGACCAGGGACACAGGGAGCAAAGCAGCAGCAGGGGGTGCCTTGCCTCTGAGGCTTTGCTCTGGCACGGGACCGCTTTGCTCCTGGTGCCCCTGGTTTGCTGGAGACGGTCCCCAGCAGACCAGGGGCACCACTAGCAAACCCGCCAGGGGACCCGCTTTGCTCCCGGTGCCCCTGGTCTGCTGGAGACGGTCCCCAGCAGACCAGGGGCACCGGGAGCAGCTTTTCTCGCCCCGGAGGTCAAGGTGGCTGACCGCTGCCTGTGAGCTCCGGGGCGAGAAAGCCCCGTTCGTAAGTGCGGATCCGACATAAGTCGGATCCGCGTAAGACGGGGACTGCCTGTACACTTGTGAAATGCACAAAGGTGATGGTGCAGAGCCTTTCAACCAGGGGAACATGTACCCCTGGAGGTATCCAGTGGTCTTCCAGGGGTACATCAATTCATCTAGATATTTGTCTAGTTTTACAAGTTACATAAAAAGCACTAATGAAGCTAGTACACATATTTCATATTATGTCCTGTTATACTACTTTATATAATATACACTTACATGTAAGTACAATATTTGTATTTCAATTAATTTATAATTACATGGGAAAAAGAGGGAAAGTAAGCAATTTTTTCAATAATACTTTACTGTCACTGTTGTATTTTTGTGTCTGATTTTGTAAGCAAGCAGTTTTTAAGTGAGGGGAAACTTAGGGGTATGCAAGGCAAATCATTTGGAAATGTTGAGAGCCATGGTTGTAGGGGATTTCTCAGAGTATGTCAGACATTGCAATAAAACATTTGGGATTAGCCCAAGTTAGCTGAGTCAGGCTCCTTGCAATGTAGATGTTTGGGTTTGAGTTTGCAATGGAGCCCAGGCGCTGGGGCCCTGCAAGAAGGGTCGGAGCAGCAATAACTACGAGAACTGACATTGCTCTGCTCAAACCATCTAACAACTCCATATCAGTCTAAAACTCTTTTAACAAATTATGGAAGTTACAGCAGCAAGTTGACTGGTCCTATTTTAATAATATGTTTTGATTACAGAAACCAAATAACGAGAGGTCACTGAGATGTGAATAGGTTAGAGCACAGCCATTTTTATTATTTATACAAGCAAGGATAGGAGACATTTTTCCACATCACTTCTTACCAAAAAAATACATTTAATAAAACAGTAAGAAAATGCTTTTGATTCAACATTTCCCCGACTTTTCAGCAGTTATCACAGGAAATATAGGTGCATGTACTTCTTTTGGTCTCTGGGAATACTATATATTTAGCTATTAATTTGCCTATTGGTGGCTATTTTGAGGTTGTTGAAATGGTTTTTGGAACTTGCTTTGTATCCAAACTCGCTGCATTTTCACTTTTTTCTTCCTGTTGACTTGTAATCTTCGATCAACTAGATTCTGCACTTCAATTAACCCAGCCTGGGTAAACATGTTGTGGACCTCATCTGTTCCACAAATAAGAAGTAGAATTACTATAATTAAAAAAACAAACTGAAACAGCCAATTAAAGAATTTATGGATTGAATACATATAATTCATCTGAGCAGGAATCAGCTCTGCTTTGTCATCTGCTAGCCCAAAAACAGCCTACGAGAAATCCTTCTGTAAAAGAGACCACCTTTGTGGCATCACTGATTTCTCATAGTTTATATCAACCTTTCATCAGAGATCTAAATTACACTGGATTCAAGGAAGGCAAATATATGACATTTTGATCATTCTGGGTATGTCTACACTACAACCAAAAACTTTCAGCACCACATTTGAGTTTGACAGCAGGGAGACAGCAAAGAAAAGCCCCACTGCCATGAAAGGCTCCAATAGCAAGGAAAGGCTTTTTGCCGAGGCATGTTACTACATGCCACAAGCAGTGAGGTACAGGTTACATGAAGCCCCACAGCACAGATATGCTGCCTAGCACCCTACCCTGTTAATTATATGGGACAGAATCTAATACATTAACACTCCTTTATACTTAACATAGATTACAAGAGAGTACAGCCCATACAAAACAGCAAACACCACATACCCTGCATTAATTTCCTTCCCACTACAGGGCATTCTTTGCACTGGGATTAGAGTCCATTGGGTTGACCAGTTTTTAGGACCATATGAGTTCAATGATGTAGATATTGGGATAGAGAGTACGCTTATTAAGTTTGCAGATGATACCAAACTGGGTGGGGTTGCGACTTCTTTGGAGGATAGGGACATAATTCAAAATGACCTTAGCAAGTTAGAGAAATGGTCAGAGGTAAACAGGATGAGGTTTAATAAAGAGAAATGCAAAGTGCTCCACTTAAGAAGGAACAATCAGTTCCATACATACAAGATGGGAAGCGACTGTCTAGGAAGGAGCATGGCAGAAAGGGATCTAGGGGTCATAGTGGACCACAAGTTGAATATGAGTCAACAGTGTGACGCTGCTGCAAAAAAAGCAAATATGATTCTAGGTTGTATCAACAGGTGTGTGGTAAGCAAAACTCATGAAGTCATTCTGCCGCTCTACTCTGCACTAGTTAGGCCTCAGCTGGAGTACTGTGTCCAGTTCTGGGCACCACATTTCAAGAAAGATGTGGAGAAATTGGAAAGGGTACAGAGAAGAGCGACAAGAATGATTAAAGGTCTAGAGAACATGACCTATGAAGCCAGGCTTCATGAACTGGGCTTGTTTAGTTTGGAAAAAAGAAGATTAAGGGGGGACATGATAGCGGTTTTCAAATATCTAAAAGGGTGTCACAAGGAGGAAGGAGAAAATTTGTTCCTCTTGGTTTCTGAGGACAGGACAAGGAGTAATGGGCTTAAAGTGCAGCAGGGGAGGTTTAGATTGGACATTAGGAAAAAATTCCTAACTGTCAGGGTGGTCAAATATTGGAATAAATTGCCAAGGGAGGTGGTGGAATCTCCCTCTCTGGAGATATTTAAGAACAGGTTAGATAGACATCTGTCAGGGATGGTGTAGACGGAGCTTGATCCTGCCTTGAGGGCGGGGGGCTGGACTCGATGACCTCTCGAGGTCCCTTCCAGTCCTATTATTCTATGATTCTATGATTCTATAAGTCTAAACAAAAGCTTGGTATTTTGCCCACTCCACAGCTTCCTCTGTTCTGTCCTTCAGGTAACTTTTCACTGCTGCCACTTTCAAGGGGAAGCTAAAACTGGTTTTCTATGGATGCAACTAAACCTAGAATAACCCCTGTGTGGTCTAAGTGCCATCATTAACATTAAATATTCCCCAGTTTTGCTCTCTCATGTGTACCGGCTACAGGATCTGTCAGTAATGGTGGATCCATATACAAATAGGCAGAGCAGGTTTTAATAATACAATTTCACAATAGCAACCAGATTTCAGAAGCTGTACAGACTATGCCTGAATTTATCCCAATAAGCTCTCCCCATTTTCTGTAATGATCAAGAGATCTCATGGCATGTTACAAATTCTCTCTGCCCCCACTGCTAAAATCTTAATTCCTCCTACTCTGATCCCCAGTCTCATATTACACAGATGTCAGGCCAGATCTTTGGCTCCAGTTGAACTGAATACAGTGAGGGCCAAGGAGGCAGAAGCAGCATAAAACTTCCCTTTAGGTTCCCCAAACCCTTGCTGCTGGTATAGGGCCTGTCTTCCTGTGCCAGGTTTTCCTGGTTGCTAACAGCTCCAAGAGGCTAACAATCATCCATAATCAGAGCTGTGGGACATTCTTCTCAAGCAATAGGTGCCTGCCAGCGACAGTCAGGAGCTGCCAGGAGTGGAGCACCAGCACATTCTCTCCAGTCCATTATGTGGCCCAACATCTTTACTTCAAGCATAAAAGATATTTAAAATGTATCATTCACAGTAGGAAGGATCTTTAAGTATTAGAGGAGAGACTCTTCAATGGACTCAAAATGCAGTAAAACCTGCTGGAGGGAGAACATCCACATACCCAGACTGCTCTAAGTATTGGTCATGGGAACACAACCAGCTTCTAAGAGTGACTGTTTAGCTGCATAATGGCATTTCTTCAAGAAATCTGATTTTGAATCTTATGCCCTCATTAATCAGGAGCTACCACTATGCAACTCAGAATTATACCTGTGTAACACTGCAGCTGCTATTAGAAGTAGGTAGAAGGTTGTGACCCCAAAAAACCCTCAGTGCCAACTGACAAGGGAGTTACAGGAATATCCCAATTCTGGTTCGCTAAAGAATATCATGTGAAGCCGGGTCATTAATATCATTATGCAAGTTACATACAAATGCTGAGTAAGGAGTTTTGTGTGTATACTAAAAATATGGCCCTTCAGTCAGTATTAAGGCAGTTGACACATAGGATTATGTCAGACAAAGGATGTTTATTCTGCCTCTATCAGTCTGTATGCAAATTAAACATTATATGTTAACTCAACAGAAAGTCATTTACCTACCAAGTCAGAGGGGATATGTGAAGTCAGCAAGAAGGCAGCACACCAGAGAATAACCTACAGTAGGGACTGGCCTGAGGTACAAGCAATAAACTTAAGGGTATATCAGGTGAAGGCAAGGAAGACACCTTTTATTCTACATGTAGGAGGTCATCAGGCAGTGCAAATGCATTCAAGAAAATGGATCACAACCAAGTTTGGCTGACACAGCGCAAAGGACATTTGGTTGAGAGAGACACAGACTGAAGATTAGCCTGTTAACTTCAGTCTCTGTGCACTGTATTATGATTTTGTTTTATATAACCATCTGTTTCCATTATTCTTACTCACTACCTCTTAAATCTTGATTGCTGGTAATAAACTTATTGTTTTCAGTATAAATAAATATCTGTGCTGTGGGGTTGAACAAGGAGACCACCTCAAGTTGAATCATTCAAGCTAGTGTGCTCACTGTTCCTTTTTGCGCAAAAGCATCCGTGGCCAGTATAGATGCAATTTTGCGCAAGAAAGCTCCGATGGCCATTTTAGCCATAGGGCTTTCTTGCGCAAAAAATTAAGGTGCCTGTCTACACTGGCCCTCTTGTGCACGTATTTTTGTGCAAGAGGGCTTATCCCTGAGCAGGAGCGGGAAAGTATTTGTGCAAGAAGCACTGATTTTGTACATTACAAAGTCAGTGCTCTTGCACAAATTTAAGTGGCCAGTGCAGACAGCTGGCAAGTTTTTGCGCAAAAGCAGCTGCTTTTGCACAAAATCTTGCCAGTCTAGGCGCACCCATAGGGTAAAGAGGCACTCAAACTACAGTTTAATTAAAATAACCGAAATATAATAATTTCAGTTTCAATGACACAGCTGAGGAAGGGAATGAAAGTATCTGCTGTAAAAGAAAAGAGCTTCCACAAAAATGAGTTTCACATTTTTGAAAAACAGAGAGTTAAAGGGCTATGAAAATGACTTACATGGCTTTTTAAGAGGCTTTGTAGCCCATGTCATCTAAAGAGGCATTCAGAACTTTACTATAAAACTGAACTTTGATTTTACAGCTATTCATACCTTCTGTAAAGAAATAAACTCTGGTTCCGTCTCCTCGTACATAAAAATTCTCTGACAAACAGTGACCTAAAAGATAATAATTGTGAATAGAAAGTCTGTGCTGTTCCCTTAAAAATATGCAAAGTGAAAAATAAATTCTAGAAACAAAACAAAAAAAGTCTCTTATGAAATACCTTTTTTGAAACGAAGCTGCGATGTATCATACCTTCCATAGTCTCGAAATAACAACATTCCTCCAGGTTTCAATAATTTGGCCAATCTATTTACAACTGTTTGCATCCTTAAAAAATAAAATGTGAAATGGATGTAAATCCAAACATTGCTTTTCTCTATCCACTAGGTCCAACATGTAGAGTTTTGGGGGGTTTTTTTGGGAGGGGGGGAGGGTGTCTATCTTCAATCATGTAAAAATTCCAGACACTAACAAACAGCTTCAGTAGGAAGAACAAAAAATGTTTACAAAGATGTAAAAGGACAAAAATGCAAAATGAACTTTCACTAAATAATATAAAATACAGGGAGAGGCAACGAGTCTTTTACTCCTTTTTAGCAAAATACCAAGGATGGATTAAAATAAGATTCTTGAGTTCCAATCCCCCATCATCAGAGGAAGCCTGGACCTACAGTGAGTTGCAGGTAAAGCAGCAGGTAATTGCATGGCATACAGCTGAGTGAACAGCCAGTTACCCGCCAAGACAGGGTGGGTTGGGCTACCTGCCAAGATGGGGTGGGTTGAACTGTCTCTCTTGGCAGGAAGATGAAAAACTCAGGAGTAGGAGTCAGAGAAGCAGCTCCCTCTCTCTAATCCAGTTATCCATCTAGGTATTTATACTGCACACACAACAGTAGCCTGTGAGCACCTATGCTAGGAGAACAGAAGGAAGAGATTGAGATCTGTCAATAAAGGGAAATTTGGTAAGAGAAACCATTGGTAAGAGAAACCAGTCTGAAGATACTGGCAGGAAGCAGGGAGCGGAAAAGTTTAGCATCCTCTGAAGTCCTGAAATTTTGGTAGATCTGAGCCATGTCTAGAATTAATCTACCTTATCAAAGATCACTCAAACTATTTGCATTTACTGTAGGATTAAATGGCACACTTCTGAAAAGGTTCTTTGTTCCATCTCCCCTTTCTTTGGCCAGTATAACTTGTTTTTTTCCCACATGTTATCCTGTTAGGACCACCTTATTTATGTGCGTCTTATAAAAGGACTGTGTGTAATCTGATGTGCAACCTAACAAGAGTTTAAAATTGAAAACCTCAGATTAAAATGTAAAACACTCACCATTTAGGGCTCAACTGTGCACTAGTATTCCACAGCTGTACAGAAGAAATTTACTCCTATAGGATACTATCTGTATTCTTTTTTTAGTCTCTAAGGTACTACAGGACCACTCTTTTTTTTAAGGTTTTTTTTTAATTCTACAGAAGGTCAAGTTACCCAATAGAGCTACAAAAGACTCTCTCATTATAGCTCCTGGCATGGGAGCAGGGCAGCAGCTGCATGCCTGACACTCCCCTCCATCCCACAAGCAAGTGGATGGGTCGTGTAGAAGCTGTAGCTCTGTTCCTCCTATTAGCCAGCCAGTGGGTCTATCTGGGTGATAAGTGGAGGAAGAGTGAGTATGCTATACCCTGAAAAGAGCTGTTGTAAAATATGTCATCCTCAAACTCAAGGTGTGAATATAGAGGCACTTCACCTCCCAGGGGTGCCTTCTGGGCTCCTCTAGCTCAAACACTGGCCTTTGCTTCAGGCTAGCTGTAAAAGCACATTTTAGCAAAAGAGCAGAAACCCAGTCTTGATCTTAATGACTTTGAGGGTGAAGGCTCAGGCCCTAACTCAGCAGAAAAGGAGAATTATGAGCCAAGAGAAACTGTACAATAAGGAAAACATGCACTTTCAAAGGAAATTCTGTGCTAAAATTAAGAAACAGAGGAAGACAAACATTTTAAGGGCCTCTGTTTGGTTCACACACAAAATTTGCACGTTTCTGCCCAACCAAAAAATGAGCAGCTACCTGTACAAAAGAGCATGAGACTCCTCAGAACTGGTAGGTGGGCACAGAGTTACAAATTGTGCATATGAAAATGTGCATTCTGTGCACTGACATGGGGACATTGACATTCTACACACATGTGAAATAGGAACCCTTTGAAAATTTGGCCCAGTATAACCACCACGTGGCATGCAGAAAAGTTAATGGCTTGCAAATGATCTTGTTTTTGAGAACACCATAATTTCAAAAGGGGGCTACTAGCAGAAAAGTGTAGCTTTATAAAGAAAAAGAATAGCAACTGTCAAAATGAAAACACGGTAGCTCACAAAATCAATATACCATCAAGTAACAAAGAAGCTGAATGAGAATGTATACATCTGAGCAACTTACATTTCCCAGGGACCCAAGTATCTTTATTTCAGACACTGCATTATCATTCTATTGGTTTTCCTTGTCATTTCTTATATTTCAAGCTGTTAGACTACTGTTATAAAAAGCAACAAAGGTATAGATGACAGGTTTTTATGCAACCACTTTATTTCTAGGGGATACTGTAATGAAGCAAGTATCTTTTAGTACTTTAACTTTTGGCAATTGGGTTATACTGCATAGGAATCTACACACAGAAATCTATATGCATATACAGATATAAATGCCCATATCAGCCTTCATTAGCTAATCTGGAAGGTGGGGGGAGGGAAGGAATTATACTCTTAAGGGAAAAACATCTTCAGAAATTTTGTTTGTGAACATTTTATCATTGCTTCCATGGACAAAAGGTGTGATAAAAATATATTTTGCCTGGTATCCTGCATTGCTGCACTTACACAGATTTCAATCTACTCTTTGATTTATGTTTGGAATCTACATACAGGTTTAGCAAAACACTCTTCTGCACATGACTCATATGCTCATCTTTGCACAAACAGGAAGGAGAGATATGCTTTCTGGGAAAGATTGTCTTTCTGCAAAAGCTAATGATTAATAACTCCTCAGCCATTCAGGCAAGAAAACAGTTCTCAGATGATTCAGGTGAGTACTGTTGTAATATTTGCTGAGCATGGATGATCATTTTTAATGCAGTTCTTGAAACAACACACTTACTAGTATATGGACAATATGCATTACCTTTTTGTACAGTCTGGTTAAAGGAGGAGTTGAGTAGAAAGCAAGAATAGTATACATGGGAAAGAATATTCTTTCAAAATTTGTCACTGTTACTTGCTTCATTAGATATTGAGAATTGCTCCAGTAATAAATATAATAGCTCCCAACCCAATATAGTGCATGGAAATTAATTAAATGGCCTAATCCAAATAAGAAAGATATTCTAAGTAATCTTCATATGAGGTCAATATGTATGCAGTTGTGTGCAACTAAATGAATCAGTAGCCTGGGATATTTGTTTTTGATCACCAAGAATAATTCCTCTCTGGAAGACTATATGGCTGTTTCAGAATTTGTAACTTCTTGAAGCACTGTCACTTTTAATAGGTATGTGTCTTGTAAAAAGAGGTTCATTTCATTTTTATGATGACAGGAAGCTCACTAATGAAGTAGTTTGACCAGCTTCTCTTTCAGATTCTGAAAAGAGGAAAGTGGCATTTAAAATGTCCTGTATTATACATAATGTAGCTTGCTAAATAATAAATTCAAGATTCATCATCTCACTTTGATATTCTTGAAAACCACAAGTGATAAAAGAGCTTTAACACATTTGCTTTGCCCTTTAGTCTTCATTTACCTGTCAGGATGAATGGCAGAGAGCACAAAGACAAGGAGAATGACATCCAGAATCTCATCTGGAAAAGGGTAGGGTAAGGCATCATCACACACATCATGAACAAAGGCAGAACACCAGGCTGAATTATAGGACAAGTGTGACTGTAATGATAAAGATTAAGAGAAACATAGAGAGCACAGTAGTAGTTAGTCCATTTAGCATGACCCAAGAAACGTTTTTTTGATTATTCAGTTTTGTAAAACATTTCACAAAGCTGATTCTGTTCTGGGATCTTGTTCAGCCTGAGATAGGCCCACTGGCAGCATTCATTCCTCTCTTAACAGAGAAGGTCTTTGTTCTCTGAAGTATAAAAAAATCCAGTTCAAAGTTGTCAAAGCCATTGTGCTCCATTTCACAAAAATGGCCTCCTTGCAGCCTTCTGAATTACAGGTTCATGGGGCAAACCGCGCTTTCTAAAATGAACACTTGAAATACCTTTACTAGCTCCACTGCTTCTGACGCAAAATCACAGCAGTACAGAAAGGCCCCAGGAGTATTGCTATGAAACAAAACAAACACCAATTAAATCATTGCTATTATACTAATCACTCTTTGGGAATCTCCATGGGTTTGATCAAAATCCATTTCACTGGTCTCAGCAACAAGCCTTATATTGTCTAGCACTAAGCAAACAGGCCAGAGCTGCAGGCATTTTTGCCAAGACTTTATGGGGTAGGATTTGGGAGGGGAGACACCAAGCAAGGAGGAAAGTGGAAGTGAAAAGGAAGAGAAGGAAGACACCACTGGATGGAGTCACATATACAGCCATCAAATACTTGTGACAATGCCCAGGTTGCATTGCATTAAATAAGATAATGGGTCACAATTTCACTCTACAGTTGTTTTGTGCCTTTCTGAAACTCTATTCAGAGATTTTCCAACACTGGCCTATGCATATAATTTAATTACAACCTGAAAAATATTTATTTCAGCATCAACTGAGGAAATTATTTAACAGTTATTAACTGTTCTGAATACATTTGGATTTCCAGGTGCCACTTGTGCTGGTTGTGATCAGATTTTGTGGTTTTGATTGTTTCCTTCCATTACCCTGTCCCTAGGCCTTTTTCATCAAAACGCAAGTTGGTTTCCTGTAGTGCTAGTTTCCCTTCCCCTCATATTCACTGAAAAACCAGTTGCAAACTTCCCTCATATCAAATCATCAGATGTCAGGAACCCAGCGTAAGATTTTTTCAACTCTTCAGCAATCAACATAAGTGAAGGCAAGATGAGCAGCAGACTTCCTGATTAAGGAACAGGATTAGCCTTCAGAAAATCCCTCTCTCCTAAAGTGCTGGAGATTTTGGAAAGGGAGTCTTACCAAAGAAAAAATGTGTCCAGCAATATACCCAGACCAGCAGACCATATCTCTAAAGGGGCTCAGCAGGAGAACCCTCTTGGACCAAAAGCAACCCATGCTGATCTCGCTACCCCCCCCGGCAAAAAAAAAAAAAAACTGGGAAAAAAATTGAGAAAAAAAAGGGGGAGACCAAAGTTGTTGAGAGGAAAAAAAAGGGATCCCAACAGCAGTTAAGCAAAAACTTAAAAACTTAAAAAATAAAAAAATCAGCATGGCCCCTTTAAGAGGAGGCTTTTTTTTGCTGGCAGCCATTACATTTTTCTGTTTCAGCCACAAGACAAGTCCCTGCGGAACCAGGGAAGTGGGGTAGGGGGTGGAGGTCCGGGGGCTGGAGGTCCGGAGGCTGGGCCCGGTTGCTGAGTGTGTCATAAGGTTGCCAGGTGCCTGGTATTTTCGCCTCCTGGCAGGGAAAAAAAAAAAAAATCAGAAAATACCAGACATTTTAGGTGTCCGATATTTTCTGAATTTTTTTTACCGGACAGGAGGTGAAAATACTGGACTGTCCGGGTCAATACCGGACACCTGGCAACCCTACTACTGAGCAAAATCTTCATCAGTTCTGTGAATAGTAAAGAGATGTATTCACATAAACAGTGGAGTTACAGGTCCCAAACAGGATATATCCAGCAAAGTCCTGTGGAGCCTGGAGCCCCTAGCACATGGGTGGACAAAAGGGCCTCTGCGGGCCGCATCCAGCCCACCAAGCAGGTGGATCCGGCTTGCGGAGGCCCTGCTGCTCTCCCGCTCCCAAGCCAATTAGGGCCTGGGGGCGGGGGAGCAGCCAAAGCTTTCTCCGCTCTGCCCCCATTCTGCGAGCAACGCATGGTGCTCCAATCAGGGCCTGCGGGTGGGGGAAAATGCAAAGCCTCCTCCCGCCCTGCCAGGAGCACGTGGTGCTTTGAAGCTGCTTGCAGGGCAGGGCAGGGCAGGGGAGAGAAGAGTGGAGGAGGCTTCGTGTGCTCTCCCGCCCCCAGGCCACTCAGGATCTGGGGGCAGGGGAGCTGCATGAAGCTTCCTTTGCTGACCCCGCGGCACTTCAAAGTGCCACGTGCTCCTTGCAGGGCGGGAGGAGGCTTCGCACGGTCTCCCGCCCCCAGGCCCTGGTTGGCCTGGGTGTGGGGGAATGTGCCAAGCCTCCTCCAGGGCATGGGTTCCTAGAAGGAAGGGGGGGCAAAGAGGCTCCTCCACCCCCAAACCAATCATAGTCTGGGGGTGGGGGAGCCCCACCCCTTCCCATTTAAGCCCCGCCCCCTTCTGGGGTAGCTTGGTGCTACTTCAAAAATTTTTGAAGTGGCCCCCGGGCAAAAATTATTGCCCAGCCCTGCCATAGCATGACTGAGGGGAAGCAGCTGGGTTTTTGACTGACTTAATGCTGCTTATCCAATTGATTCACTAAGGTGTATAAACAGCTGTTCTCTTCTCAGAAAGTGGGAAGCAAGCTGCATGAAAAGCCTCTGTCAAACAACAGGAATAGTTCTGGTCTGTTCAGTTATTTTACTGCTGGTGTGCGTTAAAAAGAACTGTGTAAAGAACCATCCCTTTTTATTGTTAAGTTTGGATCATTAAAAAAATAAATAATATTTCACAAAAAGGGGAAGGTTTTCTTTCAAGCATTGTGTGACTCTACATTGTATTACTATTCTTTTGTGCAGACAAAAGGCAATTTTACATTGCCAAATATAGTGTGAATTGTACTTAAGATATAAGATGTGCCTTCTAATAGATAAGGGATGTTTCCATCAATTCAAAGATTAAATCAATGCATATTCTTAACTTCAATCTATTCTTAACTGCAACTAGACTTCAGTTGCACCTGTTTTAAATGACAAATACTACATAGCTAATGCACCTATCTGGTCACGTTCAGGATTTGCCTATAAACTGAGATCACGGAGAAAAACAGTAATTAATAATAGGACTCTTAACTAAAACAAGTTTTGCAGTATGAATAATGTCACCTGCATAATACACACCAGATTGAGTTTTTTCCCTGTATACACATCTAATAATGTCTTTTCTCCCTCAACACTACTTTCTGTTTTCATGGATAATGTGGGTTACTCCATTCACAGTATAATCTGAGAAGGATTGTTTCAGGGTTAAGGCCTTGAGGTTTTGAGACTGGATTCTATTGCTAACATTGAAACATACTTCCTATGTGATCTTGGCACCCCATTTAGACTATGGTGCTTTCCCATGTGGGTGGGCAGATCGAGAAGAGCCAGTGTGTGTCTAACTAGGACAGAGCATGGTGACAGCTTGGGCTAGCTACCCTCGTATGTACCCAGTGTATCTGCTGGTTTGTATTCAGGCAGCTAGCCTGAGCCACCACCTGTGCCACTGTGGCCACACTGTTATTTTTAACATGCTAACTAGAGCAGAGCTAGTGTGTGTATGTCTGTCTGGGCTGGGAGGCCTGCTCCCTCTACTGTGTACACATACCCTGAATCTCTCTGAATCACAATTCCCATATCTGTGAAAGGTACACAACAGTGCTTACTTATGCCACAGGAATACAGTGGCTAACAATGTTTGTGAAATGGACTGAAGTCCACAAGAAAAGTGCACATTAGTAGTACTGGTCTACAGAATATGGATATAAGCAAGTAGACGACTATTCAACTACTCGCGGTTCCCCCACCCCTTGCTGCCTCTGTATCAGAGGCAGCGGGGGCAAGGTGGGGAGAAACAGGAGCTAGTGCTGGGGTGAGCCAGCTCAAAAGCAGCCAGGCTCCCTGCCGGGACTGCCTGCAGACAGGGGCTGCTGGACCTGGCTTGAGCCAGGACTGAGCAAGCCCAGCTCATTTTCGGCTTGCAGTGCAGTGCAGAGCCACAGTGGGAGGTAGCTCCTAAACTTAGCGCAAGCCAGAACTGAGCGCTTCCTCCCTCAGGGTATGTCTACACTACAGCGCTAATTCAAACTAACGTAGTTCGAATTAGTTAATTCGAACTAAGCTAATTCGAACTAACGCATCCAGACTAAAAAACTAGTTCGAATTAGCATTTTGCTAATTTGAACTAGCATGTCCACATTAAGTGGACCCTGAACCGGGGTTAAGGATGGCCGGAAGCAGTGCCGGCAGGGCATCAGATGAGGACTTAGAGCGTGGAGATGCTGTCTCAGGCTAGCCGAGGGCTGTGCTTAAAGGGACCCGCCCCCCGCCCCCACCCCAGACAGACAGTTCACAGGGGTGCCCCCGCTTGCAAAGCAGTCTTGGCTTGGAGTGCCCTGAGTGCCCACACTGGGCACATCACAGCACTCGGCCATCAGACCGGCTGCACTTGCCGCAGGCTGCCATCTGGGGAGAGGGGGCAATT